CGTTCAGATACCTCTCTACGTCGACATTGAAACAACAGACTTACCTTCGGGTTTTATCATAAAACTATTTCGGTGAATCGCCACTCTACTGTTGAATGCGCATAAATCACTAATGCTTTTTTTCATAACATTTGGAAACGTTTCAAAATAACCATTCACGTATCGGCTTTTGTGACGTGGCTATAATGCGGCAAGTAGCTGTGATCATCCATGTAGAATTGTGTGATCGATACATCTGTATAGCACAAAGAATGAGGGAAGTTCGACACGTGGGATCTTAATTCGATTTGATGTAAGCCTTTAGGCGGATTTTGACTTTCGGGTCACGAAGTAAAGTTGCGACTTTATTGGCGTCATTCAATTCAAGTAATGTCTGTATGGTACCGTCGTATTGTTTCCACTTTTTTTTTTATTTATTTAATAAATTATTCAGATAGTACACAGTCACATGAATCGTGTATGTATATGTACCTATTGTATATATTTATATTTGAATAGTATATATTTAGGTAAGCGTAATTTCTTAATGATGAATGAAACACCATAACCGCATTTTTTTTGTAAGCACACTACTAGCGGATAATTAAAGCTTCTTTCCACATTGGGTTTGCTGGACGAGAACTCTTATAGAGTTAACCTCGTCTGTTGTTTATTTTGGTTCATAATAATTTGTAATAATGTAACCTTTATGTGCAGTAAAGTATCAATAAATAAATAAACTTGCTTTTTTCCTAGCTTTTGCTACTGTGGTTTGCCTTCCGGCTCAATCTCCTCTACATTTCTCAGACATATTTCACAAAGAGCTTCGATGTTACGACAAAACATTTACCAGATACTTTTATCGAAGACATATGTTTATATTATCGATTACATATTGTAGTACTAATTATATTGGTTTAATCTATAAATAGTTGTGTTGTCAGACAAAAGTTTAAGATTGTATACATTCTTGCGGTGAACATAATCAAAAGAGTTACATCGTCGGCCTGAGTTGTTCCAAGTTTTAGATTGCCAAACACTTCGATCAAGCCGTAGCTGGTAAAATAAAGTTTTAGATTGCCCGTTGCCAGAGCCTCACTATGAAACGAAGGAGGTGAAATATTAATGAAGTAATTAAGTGTCGGGGTAAAGTGCTCCTTCAAAAGTTTACATCTTAATTTTTCCCACTCAGTGGATGACTAGACCGAGACGCCATCGTCTAAATGAGGCCGATGATGGATGCTCAATGATGTTGCATTTTAAGTACATGCCCATCGATAGTGGCGGCCTTAATTTATCGAATTTCCCTTCGTACCAAGAGCTGGCTTCATTAAATTAACGTTGGACGTTACGCACAATGTATAGGTATCGGCCCTCGTTTTTCTGTTATTTATTTTCCCTATGAAGCCACGCTGTACAGAATTCGTTCATAATTTACCGGGCCGGAGGGTTTAACTTGGTTAGCCTCGTGACGACACTAATCCGGTTATTGGATTTGCTCGATTGACATCGCTCAACGTGTAGTTGTGTGTTGCAGATGGCACTGCCAAAAGTGAGTAGAATCGGCACTGTACGCTTGATAGTACTTAAATTTTTTTCTTTTTTCTATTTCGTTCGATAGCAATAGTCAAAGGTTTTCAAGGAATATAGAAAGTACATGTTTTTCATGTCCACTTTTCAAGTTTTAATTCATACCTAATTCATACCCTCATTAGGTATAAATTAAAACTTCATAGTTTTTAATAGAAAGTTGAAATTATTATATAGTGTTAAGAGTGTCAGTATTTTGAAAATAGAACTTTAGTTGCGAACATCAAACCCTCAATGAGTTGTCGTTGTTATTCAATAACTTCTCTTGCTCTGAAAAGTATATTCTCCGAAGTGTCAAAAAATTGGCATGTCTTTTACATTAAGTATTTATTCTTATTATTGACTTGAAAAGATATCCTATATATCAGTTATTTGCAATATCGGAAACTGATCAGAGATTTTTTTATTTTATTTTTAACAAAGCCGAAAGTATTAATACATATACGGATTAGAAATATCCACGCGATATGCAATTGGTATTACGAAAAGGACAGTGTTAAATATTGTTTAAGTAAAACGTAGGAATTATGTATCTACGTATGCCGTATTACGTACGTACAGTAAATGCATAATTCCGTGGATTGGCTTACAGTCATGCTCCAATTTGAACGATAAAATATTTTAAAATCGTTCGTAGTAATCTATATGCGTACACGGCAGTATTAGAAGGGCCTATGAGCAAGTTGGTGTTGAACAAGCATTGGCTTCGTTGCGATCAAAGACGCCCTAAGAACCAATTGATTAACCCCAAGGTAGCTCTAGACTTATTGAGGAGAATTCGACAGGAAAGCGTACCCTGTCTACATCAGCATAACATCAGGTAGAATACAAGAGGTGTTGAGATATCGATCTTGCTCCCCCTCCGATCCCACAAGTCGCAAGCAAATGTCGCCCTTTCACCGCATATAAATCTGGGGATCTCGTGTTTTTGTGTAGGATATACAATACGAATACTGTACTTACCTACGGTCTCTATGTCTGTGGTTTGTTTTCCGCGATCCTCATTTTGGTACATCTTTTTTATTATTTTTTATTAATGATAGTACATACATACATACATAAGTCGATTTAACGGTATGCAATAATTTTATTACTTCTTACGAAGAGCTATTTTGAGATGGATGTCCTAAATTGATTAATCTTCTTTTAGTTTGTGCTGTATTTACTTATTTGTGATTTATGAGCTAGGCTGTTATGGCTAATCCAACACTGCAGTTTTTAAAATCTATCCGGTTATTTGGATAATATGAAGGTGTAAAAAAATATTAAATTCTAAACACGTTACATTCCTTTTTTGGACAAGCGTGTAAAAATAGTTTATACTTCTCCAAGTAAATATCAGTCAAATCGTAATACTGGGTTTGGTCTAGTCTAGATGGGGAGAAGGGACACGCGGCACACTTTATCGGCGACGTGTCCATGACATTTCCACGCCCTAGGCCTCTGTCGCACCAAATATCGTGGTCCAATGATACAATAAACATATGTATATCTGACTAGCTAAGCCCGCGGCTTCGATCGCGTTACCGAGTCATATTGATATACTATTATACAGCATTTAATTTCTATTATTGATATCTATATATAGAAATTTGAAGCTATATAACGTTGCATACATTGTTCAAAAGATCTTGCTTTCTCCAATTTCCGAACAATAAAGAGATTATCAAGTTTGTATTATTTCGTAAACTACTTTCTTAGATGACCCTTTATTCTCTGTTATATATACCTAGTTGTACTATTATGTTTGAGGCAATAGAATTGTCATGTCTGCAAGACAAAATTTTCTAAAATAAATATGAGTAAATAATCTTTGTCCATGCCAAACACTAATTTCGAGATGTTTCGTTGAGTCTGCGTCAATCGCTGAGAAATAAATATACGTTAGGATGAACAAATCACCTTGCTTAGGGTTTTTCAAAAACAATTTGTATACTTTTTTACTTTATGCTGTTTAAACGGCCATTTCTTGATTTTTTTCATTTATTAGTTTCATCAGGATTTAAAAAATGAACTTTTTCAGATTTAAAGTATGAAGAAGTTATTAAAAATAATTGTAATTTCGTAATTCGTCGTTTTGATGTCGTGGTGATTTTTCGTCACATGTCACGCAATTTTATATATTATAGTTACGACTGTTATGTTTCGTGTTGGTATAACTTTATTAAACACTTTTAACTTCACAATTACATTTAATGTTATTCCTACAATATGCAATTTACTTGTATTGACTGTTGTATTATATTTGTGTCCACAAAAATTACCGATTTCAATTGCGGCAAAACTTTTAATTTAAAAACTACTGAACTTGTTTTAATATAATTTCTATAGGACCAATGTAAAATTGTGGGATATACTAGGACATAAAGGTATTTTTTTAGATAAAAATAGAATTTTTCGAATCCGTTTATAAGTTCTAAAATAACAAACAAAAAATATAATTGTGTTAAGGACCTCCCCTTTTTTTAAAGTTGGTTGAAAATTATAGTAAGCAGCGTTTGTATAATTAGATATCTATTCATTCAAATCCAAATATATTGCTACTCAATAAACAGTATTGTAAATGTTTTACATATCGATTCATATAAAAGTTTTATATGGTAACTATTTATATCGTTATAAATTAGTCAAGCGGGAAGTTAGAATTGAGGTTTACGGTTCGTTTTATCTAAAACGCGTCTATTGAATTTATTACCAAAGACAAAACATACCAGAGACATAATATAACAAAGACTTCGTACAAAAGCCGTCTGTTTGGATGACTATCCAATTTGTGTTTCTGCTGTGATACAGTTGTGTTTGCTTGGCTGTGTTTTAGTTTGAAGGGTGGGATATGGCAATGAAATTACAGGACGTAGAGGCATAATACCTTAGTTCTCAGGAATGGCAACGCATGAAGGGTATCATGGGCGACACAGTGTACTCTGTTATGTCCATGATAATGTTTGTCATAACTACAAAAATCCATCATTTTTTACGCCAGAAAAATTGGAGATCATAATAATAATCATTATTCGTCCGTAATTGTAAAAAAAGCTTTTTATGTTTTAATATATTACTACATTTTATTATGAAATACAAAAAAAAGTCATACTTACTTATATAGATATAAACACATTGTGATAATAATTAATAAGTACGTTTATGGATTATTGTTATTATTAAAAAGAAAAATTAAATACTTATTCTTAATGAGATATTGTTGTTAGTAGTACGTACAGCAGTTGGCATACTTGGCATACGGGTTAGCAACAGTAGTTAGGCTTTGCTGATGTTTAAAGAGGGACGCTGCTGCCCATCCCTAGACCATTAAGTTTCATTAATCACACACGGAAATGGAAATGGTGGCCCATTCAATGCCGGGACCACATGGCGTAAATGGATAATAAGTATATGCAGATTCAATAATACTATTGTTTTCCTTGTTACAGGGGACAAAATGGGCTGTTTTGTCAGTAAAGACAAACTTACCAAGGAGGATATGGATTTCCTCAAAACGCACACATCGTACGATGAGACTACCATTAAGGAATGGTACAAGGGGTTTAAGGTAAACGATAAATAATTTATATTATACAGTAGACAAAGTATAAGTTTCTTATCCTATATCTTTTAGCGTAGTGTGTGTGCGCACACTTATATGTGCAGTAAACGAATACAACTATGTGAAAAATACAAGTTTCAGAAACTTTCATCGTCTTTAAATCATCATCATGTCATCTTTCACATATTCCGTCAATCTTTTCTTAGGTCTTTGTTCCTACTATAATATAAATGTGTAACTTCCCTTATAGCAATAAGAGCAGGGACAAGAGTAGCAGCTCTTGTCCTTCTAAGTTGACCATACATCATCACAACTCAATAACTAATTGATTTATCAAACAAGTAACTCGCCGGCGATAAGTGATGATGATGAGTGTATTGAGTTTTTTTTTCTATGTTACTTAGAATGGCAAAACAAGCTGACGGTTCATTTAATGGAACGTGATAACCGTTGCTTATAGAACACAATGTCTATAGATATGAACAGTACCAAATTATATTTATCACCAATCACTCACAAGGCAAAGTTAAGTAGTCCTGATCGAAATTGCCGACATAAAATTGTTATCAATTTTGAAGAAATTGCTTTTATCTTTTTTGTTCAAATTTTAATCTAAATCTTTTGGATAAAAAAGCTAAATAACTGATAAGCTTACCATTTCTTTTAGAACATATTGGAAAATTCTTACTAATATTAAAAATATGGAAGTAAGTTTGTTTGTTTGTTACATTATAACGCCTTAACGGTTTAATCAATCACTATTAAATTTGGTATAACACGTACTATATGAGATGAAGAAGGATATACGTTATTTTATCCCGGTCAGTAAATATATCCCTCAGTAAAACTAATATAACAATTAGGCCAATGGCCTGGTGCTCAAGTTAGGATATCTTGTGTTATGTAGAACCTGGCAATATGTGGGGACACAGCTCAAAACACAGACCTTGACAATATCAGACCTATAATATTGTTTTTATTTTCCCAATAAACGTGTTTTCCTACTTTATTGTAAATGTAATTTCTATTTTTGTTTTCACATTACAGCAAGACTGTCCTAACGGTCGGCTAACACCGGCAAAATTCGTCGATATGTACAAGATGTTTTTCCCATCCGGAAACGCTGTCGAATTTTGTGATCATGTATTCCGCACATTCGATATGGACAAGAACGGCTACATAGATTTTAAGGTATACTAAAATTGGAGTAAGATTATATTAATGCTATGTTGCGATTTTCCGACTGAGCGTTGTTTTAAGTGTTTCAATTGTCAAAGCGAAATTGTACATTCAGTTTCTGCGCTGCGAATTTAACAAGTTTGTTGTATTGCAATTTTGATTGTTAACAATTGTGTAGTTTGTGTAAAGTTTTCTTAACAGATGAAAATATCTACCTAATTCCTGATGTGTTCATTGTTTGGGAAATCCACTGTGTATCGAGACGACTGTGTTTGTTATAGGAATTTCTGCAGGCGATTCACGTGACATCAAGCGGTACTCCCGAAGAAAAACTCAAGTGGGCGTTCCGTATGTACGATGTGGATGGGAATGGTGTCATAGATATTCAAGAAATGACCAAAATAGTCCAGGTGATTTTACTATTTGTTTTTTATTTTTTAACTCGTAGAAGAAAAGAATGGATGATCTAACATACTTACATTACTACTACCACAGTAATAAAAACAGATGTTGTACGTCTGAGCTTATTGCCTGATTATCGGAACGTCTTTGTATCGTAATAACTACACATTTTGCTTAATTATATATATTATATTTGTCTTCTAACTATACGTAATAATGGGTAAATGGAAAAATTCACACAACTATTTTTTTTAATATAATTTTATTAATTAAGTTCGAAAGTGAAATATTACAATAATTAAACATTGTCTCAGTGATCAACAGTTTTAAAAATTGGAAGTGATCACCGAATGGTAAGAGGCACATTGAACTGAATATTAGGCTAGAAAGGTTTCGTCTGATGAAGTCTACGCTTCGACCAATAAGCTAGTGGAAACAACAGCAAGGCCAACTACTGGTTCAAGCAGTAGGAGCTAAATTTTGCAAGACTCAACGTTCAAAAAGAACCCAGAAATCTCTAATCGCACTCTAGATCTTATGAGGAAACGGCGTAAATTATGATCTTAGTCTTCATCGTCTACGCCAGAATATAGGCAGTTTAATAGGCAAATCTCTAAGTGTATACGGCATGACATACACCAATTCAATAGTGTATGTATTGAACAGGCTATAGAGCAGAACCAAGTCTATAATAATATGTAAGGACTAAGCTAGTTCTCAGGAATAAAAACGTCTGAAGGAGACCATAAGCTCCGATTTTTGTATGTCCGTATCGAAAATTCCGAGAGTTTTCAACTCTAATTAACGAATTGCTTTCAGTGCCTGGTGAACTGTGAAACAGCGGGCGATATCAACTATAAGCTAGTGGAAACTGTCCAAACAGTAGAAGCTAAATTTTGCAAGCCCCAACTCTTAAAAAAAGCCAAAAACTCTGTGATCGTACAAAGTTGTAGACCGACACCGGTGATATAATTTCCGCCACACCTAAGATTTTTATGTGAAATTGAGAAGTTGGCGAAGGGCTGATTACGGAGTGGCGACCTAATACGGACAAAGGCAGTGTAGGACGACCCACCACTAGATTGATTGACGACTACAAATGCATTGTAGGGAGTTAGTGGATGCAGATGGCTTAGGACTGTTCCTTATGGCAGTCTATGGGGGAGGCCTATGTCCAGCAGTGGACGAGTAATAGCTGAAATGATGATGATGTATTAACTTATTCGATTTGTTTATTTTATTTTTAATGATCAAAAGACATACAATTAGACTTGATTATTAATATAACAACATGAATAAATAGAAAGTAACTCATATATATTTTCTGACGTATTTCTGTCGCTTATAGTTCATATTTAAATATGAATTGTTATTTTACTGCCACATCCGCCGGTGATTATAACTACAGTTTAATGAAACTATATGACGGCTACCTGTTAAATTGCGCGCCAGTATGAGCCACTTGTGTGGTTATAGGAGTTTAATTGAATAGGTGTTGGCACAGCTATATAGGTTCATGGCACTGAAGAAATTTTAATCTTGCAAGTCAAAGTCGTAATTTAGCCTTTAACTTTACATAAGTAGGTCGAACTGTTAATCCTGGGTTATAGTATATTCTTAAATGTTTAATGAAATTTCCTACCATTTTTTATTGAATTTGGAACAAAATTTAAAATATGTATGTTGTTTTATGATTACTAATTATTAAATCTATTTATATATATATATATATATATATATATATATATATATATATATATATATATATAATTTGGTTCTGTGTGGGTTTCTCATTTTTAATATGTCAATACAAAAGTATTCTTAATGAATAATAAAAGACGAGTAGGGAAACAACAATACATTGGATGAAAAACTCAATACCGAGGTCAGTGTCCTCATGTGTAGCTGAATGTCTAATGATTGTAAAAAACGTGACGTAGTTAAAATGGTTTACAACTTTGATCTAGGTTTAGGTACTAATTCGTGGAGAAATGATATCATATATATTTTACAACATAAATATAGTTTTGGAATTTGTCGCTTTACCCCAAAGCAATATGCATTAAGAAATTCTGTGAAATAAAATAAACGGTAAAATTGTTTGCTTACAAATGAACCTTAATTTAACAATATAGTTGAATTTTCAAACCAGACATGACGTTGTTGAAATGGCTTAATAAGTTTTTTAAATTATTTAAATATATATACGAGTAAATTGCATTTTAAATCCTTTATTACCGTAATTGCAATTGTCACAGAAATATCATTGTTATATTTTTAACCGATTTCAAAAAAGGGAAAGGTTCTATATCTTTTTTTTAATAATTGTTGCTGAACTGATTTGAACTGATTCTGAACACAATTCCTTAAATATTAGAGGATAATTCCTTGGATATTATAAGCATGTATAGACCGTCTCTTAGGTTCCTTCAAGTTCACTGAGTGATGCGTTTGGAAATAATCATTTTAGGCTGCTGAGTTGATGATAGAAGCCACAGGATTCTGTCACGATTATTAAAACATGTGCATTATTATTTGATGCTATCCTTGTCGGTTATCCTATTAACGAGAGTTAAAAGTTGTTAGATACGAGTAGTATTCACACTAATAGTTAAAAAATAAACTAAAATTCATATAACAGATAATTAATTTGTAAACTAACTTATGGTTCTGCAATGATATAATGACAGTTTAATAGCTTTATATAGTTTTCTACTAATTGCTTATGAATTATTCAGGTATCTACACTAAAAACGGAAAAGTAAACAGAGTATTTAAAAAAATTAAACCCACTTCAAAAACAATATGAAATAAAAACCAAAAAGCGAAAAATAAACTGTTATAAGACTTTTTAAGGATAGAAACTGTTTGAAGTCGGTAGATATGCTAACGATATCGATTTCAACCTGTATAAAAAATAAATAAAGAGACTACACTGCTACAATAGCTAAAACAAGTTTATTAGATGTTTAAGGTTTTGTAAATAATATTCCACTTATATAAACGTAAAGATTTGGGAAAATGTATGTTACTTAATTTAAATGAAATTTGGCACAGGGATAGGTTATATCCTAACTTAATTTGGGATAATTTATACATTAATGCACGCGGACTAAGTCTCTGGACAGCTACTATATATGTGGAAGTACAATACGTATACTCGTACTATCGCTCAATGGTTACAAATTAAACTTCGCACTAATTTTATCTGAACTAAAATGATAAAAAACAGAGATTTTAGTTTTTGTTTGTTATGGATAAATTCAAACAAGTAGATTTTATTCTATAAAAAACATTGACTTCCATGGTGGTAAAACTAGTTATTTCAATTTAAAAACTACTGAAGGACTAAACCAATTTTAATAAAATTTCTATAAAACCAAGCTGAAATTATTTATATATATATATAGAACTGAATTGAGAACCATCTCCTTTCTCTTGAAATCGGTTGAAAACGATATTATTAACGAGTAAAAATAGCTCTATTTAATAAAATACCGTGTAGTGCCAGTATTAATAACTAATTTTAGGTACGCATGAAAATTTTATATAAACTCTACGGCAGATACATTGTTTTTTATAGTTTCATTCTTAAGTAATGACATCTGAAATTGATAAATTACATTAGGTATATTGTGTAGCTTCTACGACACAACGGGTACCCTATTAGACTGCTTTGTAGTCTTTACGACATGACCGGCGCTTTGACATGGTTTAGCACCTTTCCTTGCCTAGAGTTGTGAACTTTCTACCTATATAATACTAAGTTACAAAATACGTAACTTAATAAAACTGTCATTACATTGAATGTTTGTGTATAATAATGTATTATCTATCGTTTTATCATTATAAATGCAAGTCTTTTTCCCTTTTAAAGTAGATGAGAGCACAGCTGGTCTATTTTGGCGTCTTTTATTTCATCTAAACTAGTATAGTTTACGAACTTTCCACTAAGAGAATCCTAGATTAGACAGATCGATGGCAGCCCTGTCCCTCGCCTCATCTAAAATGTAATAAAATCCTAGAAAGGTTGACTAATGTATGCGTGATACGGAGGGTGACTCAAGTGCTTTGTCATTTACCGATATTTGTTTTAATAAATTTAGTTTCCTCCAAGAACATGTTAACAATTAGACACTTCGTAGTATGGTTTCGGATATTATGTTACTATTAATAAAATAACTGAAATATATTGACAAGTACTGTTCGTTTATAAGCGCATATCCTTTCGAAATTCGATACACCTATTACATTACATCTATTGATCGAGCCTATCATGCCAAGTCCCTTGATATACACGTGTAAGATAATTAATTGTAATATATTGTATTATTTCTAATATAGTGTATAAGATCTCCGATATTTTATAACATTAATTAAAGATGGGGGAAACAAAGTGATTAGCACAATAATATCGACCGGATTAGTAAAGTAGTAGTAAATAAATTTAATTCAATTACGTATTTACGTTAATTAAAGCATATATATTATTTTAATAATGTTTTTGATAAAAATTTTACTTAAATTATAGGTTATGTTATTTGAAATTATACTTTAATGAAAATGTTAAGAGACACTTTCGATTAAGAAGTGTCACATTGCTTTTTCGTGATAAGTCTGGTACTTTTTCACTTTATTATAGAATAATCTATACCAGTTAATCCGTATGGAAATATTCGTTGCGCGTAAATAGAATTTTCGAAAATTATGTGTAACCTTACTCACTGATAACGTAGTTTTCTATAGTTGAAAGATTTTTAAAACCAGTTCAGTAGTTTTTGAAAATATACATTATAAATAAACAATCAAATCTTTCCTATTTATGTAATTAGTATGGATATAATAATATCCAAAAAAAAAGTACAAGGTGACTTTAAAGAGTTCTTCTTCCAGCTAAACTTTTCTTTACATCCTAGATTTTACACTACCTAACTGCGTATTATATATATATATATATAGCAGTAACTGTAGTAACTGTAAATCAATTTGCTGTTATAAAAACTAATTCACCTTTTAGGGCTTTACAATTCGCTACGATGATAATTATTAATTAATTAATCCTACTAATATTATAAATTTAAAAGTTTATAAAGATGTTTGTATATTTGTTACTAAATCACGCTTAAATGGCTGAAAGGATTTGAATTAATCCTTACATAACATTTAGAATAGTTTATATACACTGAATCACGCGGACTTATTTGTGTGCTAATTAACCATAAAGTATGTACTGATTAAACGGATTCATCAGTTGTGCTCTCAAGTAGTATTACGGTTTAAACAACATGATATTATTCGATTGAGTATTAATTCCGACCAACTTAGTACGAGTATTAGTTTCCATCGATTCTGCGGGTCTGAATTAAATTTATTATCATCAATAATAAATAAAAAGTATTTAATATAAAAAATATATCAATGACCCGTCACATTTTTTAATTCAAGCGTTAATCTCGTTGCAGGCTATCTACGATATGTTAGGCGCGTGCTCGAGTAACCGGCCAGCCGACTCAGCAGAGGAGCGTGCCAAGAACATATTCGCCAAGATGGACGAAAACAACGACGGACAACTCACGCAGGACGAGTTCCTCAAGGGCTGCCTCCAAGATGAGGAGCTTTCAAAGATGTTAGCGCCCTAAGCGGGCTTAAGGTCCACACTAGCACGGCCCGGCCACACAAACCCACCCCTACATTGTATACCTCACGATAACCCGACGGCGTTGTCTTGTCCACACGACAGCACCAGAAAAGAGTTTGAAAGCGAACCGTTTCGTTTTTTATCTGGGATCAGATTTTCCCAATGCGGTCGGGAGGTTTCTAAGCAAGCATCGGGCTATACGCCGCTATGGTCGGTACAATGAACACACAGCGGCTGTAAATAGGTTTCAGTAAAAAAAAGAATAAAAAAAACTACGCGCGCACTTCGGCAAATCACGGGTTTATACTAAAGGTTGATGAAATGAAGAAAAAAATTTTTATATCTCGAAGAGATTTTTTTAAAATATATTGTGTAGAATTTAAATACTTTTCAGAATTCAATTTTGAATGTGGATGTAAAATGAGTAGAGATAAATTTTGTGTCGTGTTGCTGTCGTGTTGGCTTGGCATGAGTACAGTAGGCCACACGCTGTATACTGTAGTGTATGTGCTAATTGTATGTACAAACGACCAGGGTCTCAATTTATCTAACTACAAATCCTTTAGGGATGTATCGATGGAATATTGGTCAAGTGTTGATTGATGGATCGTTCGTACATGTCAATGTGTTAAACTATCCTATTCATACTATTTTGAAATATATGAAAAGAGAATTGCGGCCCTGTCGATGTACACTTTTCTGCAAGGTATTTTCGTATATACTTGTGTGTGGCTCACTGTCGGCAGAGTGTGCGTATAACCGTGGAAATTGTGTTGACGCAACGCGCGTTTCGCTTCCGTGAAGTGCAGCCTACATTTGTTCGAATATATTCAGGACTATGTGGGAATAAATATCACAGCCTGTGCCGCCGCCGTGTACTGAAGAAAAATAGACCAAAACGATGAAATAGTTTACAAGAGGTACCGGCTACAAACATAAAATCGTCGGTTTAGACAAAACTGTCTCTTCTTTGCAAAATAGTAGAGTCTAGTCAAAGGCGCAAGGCACAGTGTTTTATACCTTTTATTTGTATTATTGTTGCCGTCGCGTGCAACGGAGTTTGCAAAACAATATTTCCATTCGCTTGCATTTTTATTCAACAGTTTTATAAAACTTCTGAAAACTTTTGCTTTTCAACGAATAAAATATTTTTCATTTGATAATATTCTCTATATTGCTGTGATTGTTTTCAAATGGAATTTCCTCCCGCTATTTCACAGCTATTTGTATTTCGATAAATTCGTTGGATTTAGGAACCGACAATGAATAAATAAAATCTAAGCAAGCGAGCGAGCTGTGACAGCAAATATTTGTTTATTAAACGCGTATTAGGTACTTGAGTAATGTACACATAGTATGCGGCGGTGCGTAATTGCCATTGCAGATCACAAATGGACAAAGTAAACACAGTGCAAATCGATTGATTGCATCTGCATGTTTGATCTACGCTCGTAGTTTCCCAACAGAAATCGCTGCTCTAAAAACGGAATCAAATCGATAAAATGTATGTTCAAGCGAAACAATTGAAATGTATGCGATATTTTAGTAATCACTACACGATTGTACGCTGCGCTTCGCCAAGAGCTTACCCCGACACATGTTTTTCGTCGATTTGTATAAAAACGTAATGTTAAGCAAAGCATTGATGTAACGAATTTGGCGTCAATGAATTCTTGAGTATTAATAAAATTGAAAATGTCCATTCCTATTGATAAATGTATAAGAATGATAATTGTATGTCAACTAATAAATTTTCTGTCGCTGTCGGATTGTCCACTTCGCTATTTGAATAAGTATTGTATCCGAACCAATCACGACTTAGATATACGATTATTCCCTGTAGTACTCGGTCTATCTGGTTCAGTCTTTTTCCTATCCAATGAAAGAATACTGCACGGTATAAAATAATGTCAATCTTAATATTTTACTATTAAGGCAACATTTAGTGTAGTGGTGTATGAACAGAGTCGGTCAGATCGGTTTATAAATACACAATATAGTTGCACGCATCGCGACATCACTAGACATCGCTGTGTCGAGTACGCAAGTACAGCGTGCGTGCTTTCACGTACCAGCCATCGATCTGATCCATTCTGTGGACGTTAAGTCGAATTACGTAAGTTTTAAGTAACCGTAATATTTTACATTGAAATTGTTTAAAAGATATCGGTGTTGTTTCACAATTACATTCGGTGTAACTAATTTATTTGTCAACAATTTTCAATCAGTAGCGGACCAGCTGATTACTGGTCCGCGTGGGCTTTTTACCCTCTCATAATTTCGGAGCTTTAATAAAGAAATTATTTTTTTCTCACTATACACTTAGGGCTATGAAAATAGGTGTTTGAGATTTCAACTCTAGTATTATTATACTATATAATCGTCTATTCTATTCTACGCTGTGGTATTTAGGCGTCTCACACCATTTCCCCACTACTGTGCCTTCTAGTTCTGTGTAAATAGTTTTCTGATCATTCATTTACGTTCTCTTGAGTTTTTCGCGCCTTCTATTTATTTAAGCATATGTCCCTACTGTTTGAGCTTACACCAAAAGTGACAGGAGACAATGACTATTTTCTCTTAACATGAGAAACCAAATCATATTAGTGTGCCCTAGTCCTGAGTCATTAAGACTATATTAGCTTTTAGTACTTAAATTATGTCTTATAGTAATTGCTTTATTTATTTCTTATTTCCCATTGGCCATGAACACATTGAAGGGTCGCGAGGATTTTTGGATGATTATTTTCATGTCACCGATTTAATGCATACATTAAGTTTTCAGTGCAAATGTGAGAGGAAGTCATAATATTATATTTAAATTATCTAAATATTTAGTAATAATAAATTTATGCGTGAAACAAAATGCAATGCGCACATAAATACGCACAAAATATATGTTTCATTTTAAACATAGGCATTTTTTAATACTGTTATTTTATAGATGCGCTTAATGCTCAGATATTATAGTTTTTTTTTTTTATTATTAAAAAAAAGGAAAATACAATGGATCGAAATGTCGATGTAAATTACTAATGTTTGTGGTTTACTCAGCCAAATGGTAGGTATGCTTAAAATAAGCACGGATATCGCTACTACAAAATAGTTTTTCTATTTTCAATTCAGTTAGACGTAAACAAATGTAAACACACAAATTATTGATAGCTAGTCTGCTATAGTCAGCTAGATTCTACTAATTATTTATTTTGTGTATCAAAAGTATAAACGCGATGGCAAAATAGTAGGTGGGGGCAATACTACGTTATAATCTTTACATTCTGTTTTTAATAGTTATTATATAATATCCGACTAATTCGGATAAGCATAAGGATAAATAAGCTGAAGTGACAAAGTCACATAGCTCGAAGAACCGACAACCGATGGGGAAGAAAGGTTCTTGTAGCAGCAACAGCAGCTAGCAGTAAACTCAGTATAGGACGACCCCCCACTAGATGGAGTGACGAACTGAAATGCATTGCAGGGAGTCAGTGGATGCAGGAGTGTTAGGAACGTTCTATGGGGGAGGCTTATGTCCAGCAGTGGGATAATGGCTGAAATATTAATCTGACTAACTCAATAACATTTTATTTTAAAATAACACAATTTGAAAGTATTCAGATAGATTAGAAACAGACCACTTTCGCTTCCTCCACATTCATCAATCTATTCATACAAGCTCGCTGGGTATGAGTACATTTAATTTACAAATTTTATGCACTGGAAACTTATGTCTTAAGGATACATTCCACGTTTAATTGAATATTATGTTTTTGAATAGTGTCTAAGTGTTTTTCTACTTTTAGTGTAACATCATTAAATCATTTTATTCTTTTAAGTTTTACAAACATGTCTCCCACGTTTATAAGTTCATCAGTAAAGGTTATTTGCGTAAAAAGAAATGCACTGCTCTAATAAAAACTTAAAAAAAAAATTGTCTCGCTTGTGTTCCGAAGATTATAAGAATGTTTTCGGCATATGGTGGACACTTGAATGGCAAATATTAAATCTTCCAAGAGCTGATCAGTATTATATTGTATTAAATTATTAATTGTACGTTTTATAATTTATTGTAGCATAGCATGATATTCTCCTATTTTATTGTCAAAAAATATAATAATAAGACCAAAATACGCGTTTGATTGTGGAATGTTTATGATTTCCGTGCAAGTTCACGAAACCTTCGCAGTAAATTAGGAATGTCTCCATACAATTGCATACATTTTTCTTGTATTATATCGTGACGATAAAACCGTATAATATCGTGTCATGCTATGGTAAATTATATAAAGTGGTTATAGACTATTTATATAGTCAAAACTTATAAACATGGGTAGTACTGTACTAATTTTTACATAAAAACACTTTTTGATATAGGTATATTCGAAAAAAATAATTTAATCCATTGCATTTTTTTGTAGTTAATAACATCACCTCAATATTTTGCTTGAACTTGGGCGGGAAACCACCAAAGTAAATAAGATCAAATTACAAAAAAAAAATGATCGAAAAATGACTGATTTTATACGAGTAGGGAAGCGGGATCAATAATACTCATCATGAACCTGAAGGTTGCTCTCGTAGACAGGGTGTTGCATAACATATCACAAAATTGGAAATTTAATTGGATTATTAAATAAAATAATATTATTTTAAACCACCGACGCGTCGTGGACGTGAACAAAGAACTGACGTAAATTCATACATTACTGATTAAGTACATATAAAATATAAGTTTCAATCTAATATACATATCTCAGTGATTGAGAAATGAAATTTCATACAGCAGTTTTCGTTTAACATTGTTGACGTCACGCGACCCGGGCCTATGTTGTGTCATTAGCTAGTGTACGACTACGAAGTAGTCGCTAGTAGTATCTAGATACTAATTAAGTGGCCGCTCTGATAAGAAAACATGATGACGTGTCAAATTTTGTGGTTTTTCTAATCGACTTCCTAAGATAATGCTCTCGATTGGTCTAAATTTTTCAACGTAAGTACGTTGATGCGATAGTATATGTTATGCACTAGGCACGCTCAATTGTGTGGCAGTTATGTACAACAGTTGTGAATTGAATTCGATGATTTTTAATTGAATCGATTTACTCCATTTTATCAGTACTTCATGTTTTGTTAAGATTGAGATAGGTTTGATTTATGATAAAAAAAAGTAATTACGAGGTATCTTAAAATTATGCTAATATTAGATGCAAAATGCAAGTACTATTATTAAAAAATCATTGTGAAATTTTCTTTTAATTGTCTAGGAGACAATTAAAAGACATAAAACATTGTAAACATAATAATTTATTATATATAGTAAAACATAGCACACAAGTTGCTGAACAAGAATTTTTTATAAAATGAAAACGCAAAGAAAATTTTGAGAAGGTCAATTTGACTTTTCTTATTGTGAGGGGCCATTTAATATCTCTTTGTCAATCTCGTCTTAATCTCGCCATACTAGACTCGATTTCTTTAACTACTGAAACGCACTCACAGCACAAAACTATTGTAAATCGTAATTTTTTATCTCTGTAGTGATTTGTAAATCGTCGCTATAAGGCGCTACGTAAACGTGAACTCTTTTAGTTACTTTTAAACTGTCGCATTTATTTCTCATTATCAGTATGATGTATTACTGTACGGTGACAGAGTATCCACTAGCCGTAGTCACGAGCATCGTGGAGTACGGCGGTTAGAATAAGAATATTTTTTATTTAATAATTTTCGAAATTGAATGCAATTTCTACTGAGAAGGACGGGCATTAAACTCAACTATTGCTTTTTTTTTTATAAACAAAAGTCGATTTTATAATTGTAACATTGGTCGCTGATGTGCGACGCAGTGTTTTTGCGTTTGCGCAGCGCCTAAATATACTTACGCTAAGATTTGTGTCTTGTCTGGTGTCACATAATATTAGGATGCATCTGAGTCTACTGTTTCTATTGAAACTTTTCTACATCATATTTGTGTTTTGTGAAAGCTGCATAATTTTGATATAGCACAATCGAGAATGTATATATTTTTTGGTGGATTGTTTTATTATAAATTTAATTATTACAACAAAAAATATCGTACAACTATGCGTCGTTCACACCGAATTTTGTTCTATTAGACAGTGCAGCTTTTAACAAAATTATATTCTATCTAAATAAAACATTTTTCTAGAAGTATTTTTTGTTAGAAACTTTAGACCTCTTCGCTAGAAGCGAATCAATTGCGCCTAATAAAAATATTTAATGTCTTATTGTATGTTTATTTATTATATTTATACCTAATTTGTGTGGGTTTAATTAATATTTATTAAAATTGCTGCTCATTTTATAAACTTCATTTTTGAATGCAAAAAAAAAAAAAGAAATAGTTCACTTTTCCTGAATGAAAGAAGTAAAAAGTAATTAAATCCACATACAACATAATTTGTATCTTCGTTAATTATATGTTACTTAAATAGCACAAAATTATTTGTAACTACGTACTGTAATAATTTCTATAATACCTACATGTGATAGAATAAGTTTATTCTAAGCTATATAATTTAGCTACAATAGTTGCACTAAGCAGTTGTAGGAATATCAGATTAATTAGGTGATCCCTCAGGTTTATAAATGGATTTAATAACCCTGTTTTAGTTCGAGGGCCTATAATATAATTATATTGCAGTTCGTTTCTAGATTTTGAACATAGAAAACATTGTGATAAGCCCTATGTATTTGTAACTGTAATTTTTTATGTTGAAATCATCATAAGCGACATTTTCAACCTTATTTGTAGATCTTATTATATTATCGATAACGTTTATTGAAATTAATAGAGAAAAAAAATCAATTATTATTAAAAAAGTATAGTTGGTAACTCGAATAGTTGTGATTATTGTCTTACAGCAGGAATATTGTCAATTCCCAACTCTTAGAAAACGAGAAAAAAGGAGAATGTCGTTTATGTATGGAAGAACATTATTTACATACAGTAGTACATAATCTTATATCAAATTGGCAGGTAAATGTTGTCGTTTGGCTTTCAAAACTTTAGTTATGTAGGTATTTGTCGAATTCAACTGTTCTGTCTTGACAAAACTTCTCACGAACGTTCGTCGACTTATTGAAGAATCTCCAAGTCTGAGTAAAGGTTTTTTAAAGTATTTACAGTGCATAGTATACTCATTTATCAAGACGCGGTGTATCTTAGTGTAAGCGTCGTTGGGCGCTAATATTAGGTTAAAGTAAATAGGCACCTGTAATAGATGGAAGTAACCACAATGTCCCCATAAAATCTCTGTTGTATCTCTAAGAATACATATTTTTAATGATTCACATTTTGCCTATTCATGTATAATATACAAATTACAAAAACAAAATAGTTCATAATTTGCCTCGTTATTTTAGCGTACACTGTTTTGTTGTCCAATTATCCATTTTATTCCTCCTATATTCACTGACGTGCAATGCAAACGGGCTCGTTTAAAAGGCATTTCTTAAATATAACATATAAAAAAATAAATATATCTTTTTTAAATTAAACAACTGGAAAGCACATTTCATACATCAGTTGAATGCATAGGTGCTTATAATTATAAACATAAATATATTTATACATATTTCATTATTTGATTATTTATGATTGATATATTTATTAGTTTTTTTTTTTACGACGTTTTAGTGTGTCGTTTTTTAAAATACGTCATAATTTCGCTGTATTGCAACTATAAAGATGTCTGATTGGTTGTCTATTTATTTGAATATGAATATTCTTACAAATCGATTTTAATACATAAAAGATAAACTATATTGGCAAAAATTAAATTTGGTCACAAAACAATTTGAACCAAATTTTAATAATGAAGTATTCAACTACAGTTTTACTATTAATGGTATACCCTTCTTTCTAATTTTATATATAAATATTACTAATATTATTTTTATTGCAATTTGCCCGTCAGTGTATTGTGATTTCCATATTACAAATTAAAACCGTGACGAAGGTAATCTAGTAGCGTACGTACCTATTGATTTTTACAAATCTGTTTTTTTATTTTACTTTTGAAATTGTTTATTTATTACAAGATGATAATAACATTATTACTGCAAACAAAAAATATAATTATAAAATACCTTAAGGTATAAAAAAACCTTAATCGTTATATGTATATAACTGTCAAATTTCAAAATGACAACCTATTTAAAAAGTGACTGTTACTCTGTCACATTGACCATAGAACACCGAAGACATTAAATAAAAAGAAATCTATTTTTGATTTATTCAATTCAAAAATGAAATTTACAAAGAATCGATAACTACTTTGTATCATGAAATACAAAGGTTTCAGTAATAAATATATAATTGTTGCACGATTAAGGTTTTGTTTCTCTCGGACGAATATTTATATCATTTGATAATGTTTGAAGTTTGACAGATATTACAGATGTTGCCATTTACATTCTGATAGTCTTCATCATATAATTATAATCACAGGCGTATTTCTAAATAGATGTCACTATTACATGAAATATTTTTGTGTGTTAATTTTATGCCATAAATAAGCTCAAAAGCCTATACCGATTCCTCTAGCTTAATTTCGATTCGGAATTCCTAATTAAAGTCCATGGAATTTTCAAATGTGCTTAATACGGCTGGGAGTTTATCTTACCTTAATAACTTATTAACAACCCACTGGTGCAAATAGTGGGATATTAATGGGCTGCATTCTTACTGTTATTAAACAGTAAAAATGTAGAATTTATATTTTTTAAGAGCAATGTAGGTTGCTATTATTAAATAGATTTAATAATTATACTCTAGGTAAGTAGTTATAGTAGAGGCACGCGTAGTTTACATACAGACTGAGGATAGCGTGTTCTATTCCTGTTTATTCCTGCGCATATAAAATAGATCTTTTTAACATGGCTTTAATTTTTCATATATATTGTTACTATCATCTTGTTTGAAATGTTTAAATTTATTGCATATCCTATTGCTATTATTTTATGTTTTAGGGCACAAGCTGCAATTTACTGAAAAAGGTTATTGGTTGTGTTACATATTGTAGCGTCCGATTATATAAATAGAGGAGATATACAAAAATGGGTAAACAAAACAGCAAACTAAAACCCGAGGTATTAGAAGATCTGAAGCAAAACACTGAATTCTCAGGTGACTTGTTTGATTACTCTATATTAATCTATATACTTAGTAATATCACAGTGGAGCTTCATTATACTGTGAAAATATTATAAATATAAAATATTGTTTTATATCTCTTGGTACCATAATGATTCTTCTAAAGTCATGATTAAAAAAAAAGACTTAAAACAAAAGCTCTCAGTTTCGTTGCATTTTTTTTTATTATTTGTTACCTCACAACTCTGTCATTTATAAACTAATTTTGATATTTTTTTATTTGTAAAGATACTTGTATACAATCAAAGTAGAAATTTTATCAAAATCGATTCATTAGTTTATTACATTAAAATTAACTGGTGTTACTATGATAAACATGGAGGAACCATATTTTAAAAAAAAATTAAGTCCTGACTAATATAAACGTCTGGAGCTAGGGACTTAAACAATTACAATTTTTTACAGGGTACAGAGGAATAACACCCGAGTCCTCAGGAGTAGCAATGCATAGGGGGTATCATGGGCGAAACAGTATACTCTGTTATGTCCATGGTACTGTTCATGTCTATAGGCGACGGTTACCACTTTCCATCAGGTGGACCGTCAGCTTGTTTGCCATTCTAAGTTGTATAATAACAATAATAATAAATTCAATTTTTAGGTTTACATCTGCAAAAGTTTATCAATTTTAGTGCACTAAAATCAAATGCACTGTTACAAATGCAACCTTCTATATTAATTATTATATATATCAAATTACAGACGCCGAAATTCAAGAATGGTACAAAGGATTTCTAAAAGATTGTCCAAGTGGTCATTTGTCTGTAGAAGAATTTAAGAAAATATATGGGAATTTCTTCCCTTATGGGGATGCAAGTAAGGTATGGTTATTTTTTTTCGTTTTACTGCAGTGAGAACGGTGGTCTTTTTCTGAATAGTGGTAACTGTCATTTCCTACTGTTGGTTATATATGAATATATATTTTCTCAAGTCAATAATGCATTCCTTACTTATTTCTCGGTTTGCCCAATGGTTGAGTGGTAAAGAACACCGTCTGGTGTTAAGCTAAACATACATAGAATTTCACTGTGCATTAAAATTTAAATAAATAAACATATATAACATATACAATATAAAACGCCGTGTGTGCTCCAGCATAGAATAGGCTAGCCCTTCCACTCCTGTGGGTGTCTTAAGAGGCGATTAAGGGAATTTAATGATTGAGAGGTGGACAGCTGCATTTCGTTTGATATATCACCAAAAACAATTGGGAAACTGCGGTTGCCAACACGCCTGCAACTACTGGCAAAATACCCCTTATAGGGGAGACCAATGTCCAGCAGTGGACAGATAAAGGCTGATATAGTAATAATACAAGGCCTAGTCGTTTTTCCTATATGATAAATTAAAAATATATAATTTCATATTGGCATACTTTTGTTCAGTTTGCAGAACACGTGTTTCGAACTTTCGACGCGAACGGCGATGGAACGATAGACTTTCGGGAGTTCTTGTGTGCACTGAGTGTGACGTCACGTGGAAAACTCGAGCAGAAACTGAAATGGGCCTTCTCCATGTACGATCTCGATGGAAACGGCTACATTTCGCGGCAGGAGATGCTAGAAATCGTTACTGTAAGTATAGAATATTGATCATTGTGTAACTCAACGAATCCAACTTGGATTGGAATGCGATTCATTGTCGAGTTTGTCCATTCGTCTGCAAGAGATTACTTTTAGCGATAAGGCCGCCTTTTGTATATGCACATTCTGTATAAATACTCCTTGTATACATCTCTATTGTGCGCAATAAAGAGTTTATTATTATTATTATTTCGATTGGGCTGCAAAATCATAAAAGAATGACTATACAAAAATACTTGTAATTAAGTTTACTTGAATAAAGAATATTCTTTTTTTACAACATTTGCTGATCCAAATGTTGTTTTGACTCCCTACCGCTAGCTACTGGGTCTTCAAGTTGTAGCAAACAATACACATTTACAAAAATTTATTAATATCGGTTGAGCAATTTCGAGATTAGCGTGAACAACGTGGGAGACACTATAGAGTTAGATAGAGTTAAATAAAGTTTATTAATTAATGGTTTAAAAAATCAAATATCTTCACTGTTGCCTTTCAATACTTTTAATAAAAAATACGTCATCATACATAACAACACCAAAGCTTATATATGGTTGCCAACCCGCCTGCCAAGCGTAACCACTACTGGAAAACCCCTCCTTATGAAGTAGACCTATGTTCAGCAATGGGCAGTTATCGACTGATATGATGATTTAATGAAATGAAAAGCAATTTATATTTTTTTATCAAACAATAGATCCTATAGCTCCATGCTAAATTTCATTTTTTTTGATGCAACTTAGAATAGCAAACAAGCTGACGGTCCACCTGATGGAAAGTGGTAACCGTCGCCTATAGACATGAGCAGTACACATAACAGAGTATACTGTTTCGCCCATGATACCCCCATGCGTTGCCATTCCTGAGAACTCAGGTGTTATTCCTCTGTACCCAGTAAATTCTCGCTGTATCCTACCCTTCAAACCGACACACATCCATGCATATGCAGAAACATAACTGCTTCACGGCAGAAATACGAATGGGATAGAGTTATCCAAGCAAACTACCTTTGTACGAAGTCTGCCTCTAATGATAATCATTCTATATTGTTACTTTAAAATTTTATTCAGATTTAACATTAGGTAAAGTTCCCATTTAACAAACTACTTTAAAAAATATCATATAAATGTTAATGCAATGATATTCCAGGCTATTTACAAAATGGTTGGATCCGTCATGAAAATGCCGGAGGACGAGTCGACGCCCGAAAAGAGGACCGACAAAATATTCCGGCAGATGGACAGAAACAAAGACGGGAAACTTTCCCTCGAGGAATTCATAGAGGGCGCCAAGAGCGACCCCTCCATCGTGCGGCTGCTGCAGTGCGACCCGCAGTCACAGTGATACCTTAAATATTAATATAACCGAGGCGTTGACACCCATTGGTCTATCCACACAGTATCTTATATAATCCTATTGTAATATAATAATATCACCCTTATTACCATGCTTGTAAGAGCTAGTGCGCGAAGTAAAGCGTTTATACACGTGATGTGTCTATTCGAGTAGTCCTGTTGTTTGGCTGTGATGCTGACATCAATGTAACCATTCTGACCAGAGTAACCCACTATCGTCCCGCTACTGGGCACGAATCTTCTCGAAACAATATATCTATTATCACCACGCTTTGGTGTAAGGATTTAAGTTTTCACGTCAAAAATCAATTATTATTTTTTATTAATGAATTGTTGATAAATACGAGTATATGCCTTATCGTTTCATTCACAAACATCTATTACATTGTAATTGGACACATTATCCCCAAAGAAGCACTTATCTACTTACTATTGTGCTCAATTGTTTCACATATTGTGTCACAATCCCACTGTCGTGCTATTAAAAAGCGTAGTGAGTTTTTGGTCTTTATAATATATATCTACTGTTACTAATTAGTAAACACTAACTTTACTACTAAATTTACAATATAAAAATTGCGTCAGATGAACAAAATAAATATATCTGTTAGTTTCAATATAAAATTGATAGTTTATTAATGAATCTTTAATTAATTCGGTAAGAGTATTAATCTCTAATTTGGGACGTCGTGCGTCTAATATTGAAGACTGTAAATTAGTTCTGATTATGATTAAGTCCAATTTGTAATTTAAAAAGTACAAATTATAATTTCTGATATTCAAACTGAAATGTCAAAATATATCGAAACTTCTTTTATAATATTATATTATAATTACGATAATTTTTAAATAATTTCTCTTCAGTTATAGTATATTAGGTACAGTGAATGATTGCTAATTGGAGTTCTCAAATAGAGCGCACTATTGTAAAACTGACAAAGTACATATAACTTGTAAATGTTATTCAAACCAAATATGGTTCTATAATTATATAACAAGTGGCTCTGTAATGTTAAAAGTTGACCAGAACAAAGTAGAGGTGATGCATATAAATCTGAACACTCAAACACAGTAGGTTTCAAAGAAACAACTCGGAACTGTTCCGTCGAAACCGTAACAACACTTTTAGTTTCACAATCGGTTGCATCGACCTAACTAAACACAGAACATGCTCTTCTCGTATCTAGCATATGGACTTACGCTATGTTAGAAAGAGATAGCAGCTATTCTCTGCTTGTTTTCTTACAGAAAACATGCTCTTTTCATATGTAGCATACGGAGTTAACCTATGTCAGGAGATAGTGGCTATTCTCTGCTTGTTATCTTACAGGAAGTATTTATTCTCTTCACGTATCTAGCATATGGAATTAACCTATGTTAGAAAGAGATAGCATCTGTTCTCTGCTCTAGAACAGTCGTTGATGTTGAAACAGTGTTTCGATATAACACTTTGATATAACAACATTCGATGTTACTTTGGGACAGGCCAGTGGAACTGTTTTTATATTTGAACACGAACGGATGCAACAGATTTCGTAATTTATCCTGTTTCAGACCACCTCTGGAACAAAGTATTTCTGAAAATGTTTAATACTTTGTTTTTGATTATTCCCATGTTTATAAAAATAAAAAAAAATACAGCGATATAAAAAAAATTAACAAAATTTAGTTAGCATTTAAATTTAAATTCTTATTTAGAGATAATTACTCTAGAGTACATAAAATTTTACAAAATTTTATGTACTCTATACATATGTACTCATACTCTACATACAGACAGAAAGAAGATAGATATGTTACTTATCTAAAATATAAAATCGCACTTTACGGAGCCACATTTTAAATGATTATTCAGAAATATTTGAAATCATGTGTCAGTTTTCGTGATGCGCCCTCTAGCGGGAATTATGGTGCAACAAGCCAAATATCAGGATTACGTGTGACTATAACGTGTGTATAGTATGTTACAGTTTTCCCCGTGTTTTATATAGTTAAGCTAAAATAATTTTTGTCCTCATAATGATTTGTGACACAGTCTCCGCCCACAGTTGTTACATTTTATCCACTAAAAGTTTGCGTGTATTTTAAAATTAGCAGCGTTGTACCTGCACACACTTCGGTTTTAATAATTCACGTATTATTAATAATTTATAATTGAAATAAATCTATGAATTTAATGGTGGATGTAATATGATGTTTTTGGAATCGTTCGTTCTTAATATTATAGATCTTATTTCATGACATCTCAATGCGTGCATTGATGTTACATTTTAAATTATATCTGTGTCTTTCTTGATATCGTCGGCGCAGGTGGAGATATAGCTAATCGCGATTTACAATTTTTTTTTTTTAGTTGGTTTAACTACAACGTAACTTTATTGTCGACGTTTTTATAAATATTGACAGTAAATAGTAAATTGTGATTAAGTGAAATTCAATTATACAATTCTTCACTTACACCGACAATATACCTAATGTTAATTATCATAGATAGCCTTATCTGATTGTAAAGCTAACGCAGTAGTTATTACGCCCTCATCCCATCGATTGGATTATACCTTCTCTTTGATTTTGAAGGGAAAATATGTGCAGTGCCATGTTACATACATATTATTTATGTTTATAATTCGGTGTGTGTCTCCACGTTATAAGATGTATTGCGGTAAATTTGTACGGTACCAACCGTGTTGTCAAAAGTTTTGTTTAGTTTACGACAATGTCGTTACGATAAAATATAAGTCACTTATTTACTATTGTAATAGTAGTCGAGGACTTTAAAATCAAATGGATGTTGAATCGTGAATACAAAATTAATGCTAATAGATTGAAAGACATCTCATTTCTCAATCCCGCGTCACTGCTGTCTGCAGGTGAAGTGTAGAACATTTGAAAAGTTTGTAAACGAAACATCACTTGAATTGTTTTCGTCACAATTGTGAATATTGTTAACAGTATGATGGTAGTGTCATCTTAACAATTCACATTTTATATTATACATGGAATATTTTTTGTCAGATATTTTTTTTTTATATAAACATTTCCACTTGTTAATTGCGGTGACCGGTGGGCACTTCCTTCATTTGCTTGAATATGGTATTCACGGTGCAATTTTCATTTGATTAGCGATATCTGAATTTTAAATTTCTTGGTATTCAGGTGAAGACATAAGGTGATCTAACCAAAACGTGCAGTTGACTACATTTAAAATTTCCCGCAGTATAGTCTATTTTGACATAGATGTCGCTATTGGCGGCCGAGGATACCGCTCGCTGCCAGATGGCGGTAATAATTTTCAATCTCCGGCACTGCGCGTACGTTTCATAACAGATGGCAGTAACATACGAGATTGTACCGCTTTCTTTTCACTGCTAGCTTCAATAGTAGTATATTATAACGTACGAATAGATAATTAGATTATTTTATATGTTTATTCGTATATATTAATGCCTTATTCATATACCTAGTACATTAATATATGGTATTCCATTGAACGATGCTAGCATTGAAAAGACAGCAATTCATTGCACAAGATGAAGACAATTGCGCAACAAACGACACAGACGAATATAATGTTAATGTACAATTAATATTAATTTACAATTATCTATAAAAATATTTATGCTGATCTATTTGCGTAGCTGATATTATTAAGGTTTAGTTTTTAATAAAGGGGAAAAAGAATAAAAACATAATTATAGAGTCCTGAAGTCAGCCTAAGTATTATTATTCAATTATTATGTTACGGTATTTGAATTGTAAGGTTTTTTTTTTATATGGTTAGTGTAATGTGACATTTAAAAGTAGACAGAGGATGATAATCTAGAATTTCGCGGTTGTACACAGTTTGTGTAAAAGCAACCCATGACTTAGGGTAGCAGCAGACGGGCCCACTGGCCGAGACAGTATCTGTATTGTTTGACCCAATCGAATTAAAATAAAACCAAGTGCTTTTTAAAATTTAACTGTTTTATATATCATTAAATTACTTTGAAGACAGTGTAGATAGACTAGATTTTTTTTACGTTAAGCTCACGTTAAATTCATATTTTGTCGCGTTGGTTAAAATCAATATCTTATTACACGGTGGCCGTTTTGCCTAGGCCACTCGCTTAGTTGCGCTTGGACTGACCTAAGTTCTTAGTTTTTTTTTTATATCTAATTCTACCCTGGTGGAAACATTGGTGCTGATCCCGGTGATACTAACTTATTATTTTGTTTCTGTAGCAATCCTCTAATGATCGATGAAGACTTATGGAAACCAATCATTATCCTGCACTGTTGCCTGTATACAAAAGCTATAAATTACTCAGCGAGCTATGGAGAGAGCTATGCTCGGAGTTTCATTGCGTAACAGAATCCGTATCGAGGACATCCGCAAAAGAACCAAAGTAACATAGCTCGAAGGATAAGCAAGCTGAAGTGGCAATCGGCTGGTCACATAGCTCAAAGAAGTAATAACTGATGAGAAATAAAGGTTCTCGAGTTGCGACTCCGTATGGGTAAACGCAGTGTAGGACTACCCCTTTACTAATGATGATGATATAGAAAATAGTAAAAAAATATTCATAGAACATATAAAAAATACAAGTGAGAAAGAAATATCATTAGTCCAGTCGACTATTCTAGAGGAATCAAAGATGTTATGACTAAAATTTGAATTTTATTTTACATATTTGATAAAGCACTTTTTACCTTTTTTTTAGACAAACACCTATGTGATTACTTCACGGTACTCTATCACCTAGTAGTCACTCTGTATCCCTCAGATAAGATAGCTTCAGAAACAAATAAAGAACGAGATAGCACTAAACGTTCCTACCGTCCCTCTTTGTTCTTCGGAAGACACGATAACTAAATTATTACAATTAACTTTTAATTTAGTTTTAGTTCACCGGAATCGGCACTATTATTGACGTTTATTTTAATTAGTAGTTATCGTTTCTAAGTTATAATAAGGTACATATTTAAACGTTTTAATATTTATTTAATTTCATTATCATTCATAATTGACGAGTCTCGCACATTTACATAGATTATAAATTATAGCTCTATAATTTCACCGCTGCTGCTTGCGGTTTTTATATTGCAGCGTTTTTTTTTTTTTTATATAATATTATTTCATTTAACGTAATTACATTTAGACCTATATGGAAGGTTATTATGAAATTATATGATATAATACCAATGTAGTGCACAGGATTATTTTAATCCTTTACGTTTTTAGTAACTGCGATTTAAAAACAAAAAATAGGGATATGTTTTTTTTTTATTTTACTGTAGTATTTTATTTCATTAGATCCTTCTCATTTGTTTGCCTTGTATTTTGCATACATAATACCTCTTTAGCTTTATATTTTTTCATTTTTTCCAAATAATACATTTGCTGTAACAATGGTTTTATTAAGCTTTTTATTCATTGAAATATGTTAGCACGCTTTATTTAAACATGTTTCTCAGTAATCATTTATTTGTTATACATATATATATATATATATATATATATATATATATATATATATATATATATATATATATATATATATATATATATATATATATATATATATATATATATATATATATATATATATATATATATATATATATATATATTTAGCTTTATACACTAAGTATAATTTTCTTATAATGTCAATAGCTATTTATCATGCCGAGTTTTAAATTGCTTTTTAACTAATAAAAATTTTGAAAACGATCTATTGAATCAAATGCACAATAATTTATTTCTCGCACAATTCTTTATTAACGTGTTTAATATATGCTTCGGTGTTTTTAACTAACAATATAAATATATTTATTGTGGAATTGAGTGAATATTGAATCTTTTTTCTAAGTACATGTTACAGATTGTAATCATTGAACTTATATGTATGTATAGTAATCGTCTACATGATACAAGTATGAAAGTTTTATATAGCCAATAGAAATGTCGCTAGTGTGTTCTAGTGAAGTATCTAACGTCAGTTTCGAAAATATTTTACATTCACGATATTGCAAGAAATTGTCGCGACAATCTGAACTAATCACGTATTCGATTACGATTGTATCCCGCCCTTGTAGCGATCGGATAATTCTAATTACTATTGGAATTTGTGGATTTATTCTAAAAGTTTGCTGTGTTACATATCGCTCAACTACGACGCTTTATGTGTGTACTAACTGGCGTACTACGTTCAGTAATCTCTGCAATAAATTTTCTAAAATCTCGGTGTTGAAAATGTAAAAGAGAACAATATTTTTAATATATCATTTTAAATTTATGTACAGATTGTTAGATGTTCATCCAGATTTTAAGAGTATTTGTGAATTGTTCGATATAAATTAATCTAATGTATTTCATATTTCTACACTTCCTTTAATACTGTAGTGGTCGAATGTTACTTATCTCTCTATTCCGTGTTCCTTGGGGATGATTATCTATTCCAATAACTATAGGTGCCTGTGTAGAGATGAACGATAAATAAATATGATCTTTAAAATATTCGATATAGATCTAAACAGAATCTCAGACGCGACAAAGGTCATGTTCACTGACAGACGAATATGTAAAAGTATATTTAAATATACATATTTATGTGCAGTTGGTTCTATAATCAGTTTTCTGTATATTGTAAGGGTCTGGTATTTTACGAAGCGTAATGGTCTCAGATTAGATGGTTCGTTTCCACAACACGTGTACATAAATACATTATTGGTGCTGTAACGCCAATAGTTAGATTGTTCCGCTATTCGAATACGGCTACTTAGTTTGGCTTCATCCTTTAAACTTGGCGACGAGATCACAACACTATATTGTTGTTGAGAGAAAAAAAAATAACATTATGCGCGAGAGCGCATAGTGTGCGTTAACTTGCATAGTGTGCGTTAACTTGCATAGTGTGCGTGATTCGGCCGCACAGAGCGGCAACGTCGCCCGCCCCAATATGAGCTTCCAGCATTGATCTAATGTAGCGAGCATTTCTCATTTCCATAGTCATTTATTACGTAGTTTAGTTCCCGGTGAGTCCAGCGAGCGAACCATCTGATACCGTCTGTTTAGATAGGTCAATACCTAATATTAGATAGGATTCAGTTGAAATGCTATATACCCGACGCTCTAGTTATACACTGGTTCTATTGCACACAGCTAATTGATTTTTTTACGGTCTTCCAGTATTTATATAAGCAGTAGACGACTATACTACGAAATGTAATTTTGGCCTTTACGAACTAAAATATCAATTTAAAGTTTGAGAATATGAACTAGATGGTTTAGAGGCACCGTACTAGTATATTGCTAGCATTATATGGGTGCTAATTTTTACATACATATTGGTCTAGAATGCTTCTGGTCAAATTGACGGCGCATGCTAAATATATACATCCTATGTCTATCTATATATCCCTACGTCCCATGTTAATCCCTAACACCTAAGTAGCTTCGATTTTGCTCTATCCCACTTACCTACGCTTAAGAAGCTTACTTCCTTGTTTATAATCTTCACTATTTAATATTGTCACTGATATAATCTATGGTGCATAAAATGTCCTATGAGGTTAAAGGATTGTTAGATAATAAATCTCTTACTTTTTTTGTAAGTATCAACTAATACTGTGTTTAGCATATAAATTATTTGATATGTACGTAAAATTGTATGGTATCTTAGAGGGTATTTTATCTATAAAACCCAGGGTGCTATTGATTCGGGACGTATGCGGCGGCCTCTGGTGGCGGCTGCTGTAGTTACCATCAGTTGATGTTTGACATCCTATGGGATGCCTGCTATGTCAGGTCTAAAATGGTGTTATGTATACATTTACCTTTAGGTATGTAAAGGTTATGTTAGATAGGTTCGTTCGTACAAAAGACATTAATTATTAATGTAGGATGATAATTTTGGAAAGCCGTCAGCCCCCGAGAGCAGGGCGCCGCATCTACGATAATTTAGCACAGTACTGGCTACACACAACTTCGCAGTTTTGCACTCTGCATTTTCTATTTGACATTGTGTGTATAACGTTTGTCGAGGAATAATTAAATGAAATTTACAAAGGCACTTTGAGATCTAATATTGTAATTCACTAAATAAATGTGGGACAGTCGAGTGAGGAGTGCAACCTCGCTGAGTTTGGGAGCGCCAGTGCACTGAGCTCTCGTATTAATTTCAAGGACCAAAATGTACAAGAATGGTAGTACCTAAGTGTAACGTAGTGGGTACCTAACTATCTGACTACCTACTCTGATATACCTGTATTTCATACGTGTATATTCACTAATTGTTGTGTGTTACATATCAATTCGCTTAAATCGAACATGTTCTCGGTGTTACACGATCTTACTTTTCGTAAGTTTGATCTATATTTAAAATTATACACGGTTCAAATTTGATTCTTAATAGCACCCTGCTCTTTGAGAAATGTACCATGATTAGGTGTTGAAGAAAATCAACTCAGAAGTCACCAAGTTTAAACTTTGAATGTTCAAGTCGAAACCTTTATAGGGGATTACTGTTGAAAAACTGCGACGCGGTTATATATATATATATATATATATATATAAAATTAGTATTTAATGTGCAGAATGTTTGTTAAATGCATTTCGTTTTGTTCTTTGTAAAGAAAAGACGCAATTAACAAACAAACTGTACTAGTGCCGCATTGTACCTATAAGTAACATTTACAATGATAAAACACATACAAATAATGATGCATTTCGTCTCGGCAACTCAACTTCAGTGTAGTCAATTTATGATTCCTAACATAATTTTCTTTAAAATTGACCTTCTAGTTCTGATAATCTGTTTTAGATTAAAATTATTATATCTATTTATTAAATCTTTCTTCTCTCAATAGTCGTTTTATTTATTTACCATAACCTTTACGAAAGATAATAGGCATAATAGTCTTTTTTTTTTCTTATGGATACATACAGAATAGTAACACTACCTATTTTAGTAGGGTACGCTACTGGAGTACCAGCCGCCATCCTAATGATGCACCCGCCTATACTAAAACTATATAAATATACAATAGCGGGGCATCAGTTGAGGATGGAATGATGAGGATGAAGTCAGGTGAGTTGGCTCGCCGTAGCGTAATCACCGGGAATCAATCGCGATGATTTCTAAGAGGGACTGCGTGGAGGTTGGCCTTATAAAATATATTGCTAGTAATGTGGATTAACCTTCCTATTAATAACAATCCCTTTTACATCGTCATGGAAGTCTCTTTTTTAAGAAATATCTAGTGAGAAATGAGAATAAATGAGAATGAAAAGGCAGGTCAGTTAGCCTATTATAATGAATACACGTGGAATTGAGCATAATGGTTTTCAAGGGGGGCCACTCGGAGTCGACCTGACAGGGTATATTGCTAGCAATGGGACTGGTAGTCCGCGTAATTAAGAGTTTTTAACTGACAAAAAATAAAAAAAAATATATATATATCTGAGCTTACAGGAGACTTATATTTTCTGAATCAAGGTGACGGCATATAAACGCATTGTCCTCGTGCCAGAGTCTGAATATATTGTTATTGGCAGCCACTAAGAAAACATGTCTCCTAAAACACGTGAACCTTTGTCGTCATTTTTTCTGACAGATACCTACATTGAATCCAGTCCACCACAGTACAACTAAAACAGAATTAGTGTTTTTAGAGAAAAATTCATGTGTAAACTATAGAATTAAAGTAATATGTCCGCAGATTTATTACAAGCAGATGTTTTAACAAAACTTTAAAACAGCGTTAAACATTCAAGCTGTATTATTGAATACAACCTTTCTGTCTTGTTATTTTTATTATGCCTTTTATTTTATTTATTTTACAAAACATGTTTTATTATAAACATTGTGTCATAAATATATACCTTAAAGTATAACATTCATATATAAGATATATAATAATATATAATTAAAGATTGTTTCCCACAACAAAAACCCGACTTCAATTGTATTATAACCAGTTATTTTAATCTAAAAGCTAACGTACTAACCGGGTGTAATTATATCCTTTCAGATAAAAATTTTTTCAAAACGTTTTGGAACTGACGGAGTTATGAAGTAATAAATATAAAAAAAATACGTCTGAATTAAGAACTTCCCACTTATGAAGTCAATTGATAAAAAATATATATATATAGGTGGCCGTCTTCGAAAACGTCACAAAACAATAACTTTGTTTTTTGCTATACATGTTTCGATTATTGGAGGATAAATTGTAAAAATTCTATATTCTCAAAGAATTTTTCAATGTTTTAAATATACTCAGAAAAAAACCAAAATAAATTACCTACTCATTCACACTTGTTACTAATTAGAATATTAAACAAAAGAACGTCAATTCTCTAATACATTAAATAAAAAAGCTTTATTATTTAAAGTACTTAGACCACTTTTAGATGGCCTATTAAAATATACATAGGAAATTTCAGAAAAAAGTGTACTATTCTGTAAAATAGATTTTATTTTTTATGTTTGTTTTTTTTTTCAACCTTGACTTTATTTTAATA